TCAGGAAGATCTGAGTTCAAATCCAACCTGAGACACTCACTAGCTGTGTGACCATGGGTGCGTCATTTAATCTCAGTTTGCCTCAGTTTCTTCATCTGTAAAAGAGGGATACCTCCCAGGGTTGTTGTGGGAACCAAATGAGATAATAATTGTAAAGAGTTTAGCACAGTGCCTGGCACATGGTGAACACTATCTAAATGTTAGCTGCTGCTATTATTATTATCATCATCATCATCATTCATTTTTTGCGTTCCCCAGTAGATTATAAGGTCCTTGTGGAAACAGATGTGTCATTGCTGTTTTTGTCTCCTCCCTGCCCAGAACAATGCCTTGTACCTAGTTCATGTTTATTTCAACTCAACGAGCACGTATTAAGCACCTACTGTGTGCCAGACAAATGATGTGGATTGAATGAAATGTTGACCTATATCTATAGGGCCAAGGTTGAGGAAGAGACCAGTGACTTTTCCAGAGAGATTCTGATCTTTTAATTCTTGACATAAAATAAAGTTTACCCTTCACCAAGTTACAGGTCAAGAGAGTCTCAGAATTCATTCCAAACCAGCCGTTTCTTTTTTTTTTTTTGCAACCTTTTTAAACTTTTTTGGGGGGGGGGCCTAGGCAATGGGGTTAAGTGACTTTCCCAGGGTCACACAGCTAGTAAGTATTATGTGTCTGAGGCTGGATTTGAACTCAGGTCCTCCTGAATCCAGGACTGGTGCTCTATCCACTGCACCACCTAGCTGCCCCCAATCCAGCCGTTTCTGAATGTCCAACAGTCACCTCATCGCCTCCTCCCTTTCCTTTGACACTGGCTGGACCAGTTGTTTGCATCCTGAGAGCATCCCCTTCTGGCTCTCTTTGGGTGCCCTTACCATCGGACACTGACTTTGAGGTGGGCATGCCTATACTGAGATTTCTTGGCTCCTTCATCCTCCTCTCCTTCAGGTGCCATGGTTCCCTCTTTAGTCGGACTTTGTACTTTGAGAATGTGGATGCTGCTCTTTTTCTGTTGGTTTTCATGTTTGCCAGAAGTCAGCTTCCAAAGGAAGATGGCAGCCATCCAGTAGGAAGATGAGGCCACTAGTCTGCTCTCACAAGGTGACGTATTTCCCTGCTAGTGCGCAGTGCGTGATGATGCCGTCGACAGTGTCGACATCATCACAGATCAGAAAATTTTGCCTGAAATTCAATGCAATGAACATTTATTAAGCACCTCCCAGATGCCAGCCACTGTGGTAGGCCCTAGAGAAACAAAGACAAAGACGTAATAGTCCCTGCCCACGAGAAAATAATATGTGCAAAATAAGTAAAATTTTTCAAAATTTACCAAAATGTCTGAAGTAATTTGTAGAGGAGAAGATTCTGGAAAGGCTTCCCATAGGAGGTGGCACTTGAGCTGAGCTTTGACCTCCCTGAGCAGTGAGGAGGGAGGGCACTCCAGGCATGGAAAGGCACTCCGGCCTCTACAAAGGCCGGACGTGGAATGCATTCAGAACAGCGAGTTAAACAAAAGATATCAATGAAAATTGAGTAAAGAAAGAAAGTGTCTACTACACGTAAATACTGGCTAGAATACGCTAAGTGCATGGGAGATGGAGACTGAGGGGTACGGCACTGGAGGAGAGAGAGCTTCCCTCCCGGTAAGAGGATCAGGAAAGGCTTCAGGAGGGAGATAGACACTGAGCTGGGCCTCGAGAGACGCGGGCTGGAGCCCACTGCAGTCACAACAACAACATCAGTATCAGTAATAATAAGTGTCATTCATGGAGCACTTTAAGGCCTGCAGAGCTCTTGACAAATTTGCTCTCATTTGATCCTTACAACAGCTCTGTGGTGGTAAGTGCTATGATTGCCCCCACCCCCCAGATGAGGAAGTTAAGTGACCTGCCCAGGGTCACACAGCAAGCGAGTATCTAAGAAGGAACTTAGGCTGGGGACAGACGGCACTGGGGAGTGGAGCGGGGAGTTGGGCTGGAACACCACAGTGAGAGAGCTAAAGGGCAGGGGTTGGTATGAGATGAGGCTGAGAAGGGAGGCAGTGTGCCACCATCTAGAAGGCCCTGAATGCCCCAAATCTCCACGGGCTCACCCAGCTCTGACTTTGTATGTCTCTGGCTCACACTCCAAGAGGAGCCTCTGGCCTGGTCTGGGTTTGTCTTGCTAAAAGATACTCATTTATCCACGTGTTTGCAGATTGAAACTAGGCCCCATGTCAATAACCCGTGTTGGGCAGGGCTCACCAGCCGCCTGACTGAAAGCCGCCATGCTGTGGGGCTGCCTGCTGGCGCCAGGGGCGATGGTGGCTGTGGCTCCCTGGCTTCAGGCAGGCCCAGCAGGTCACCTTTGTTGGGTCGGTTGACTGGAGTCCAGCTCTCGCACCGTCTGGAAGTGTGTCAGTGGAGAAGGGAAGCCTTGGCATGCTCCACAGAGCAATACTGGGTTTTCTTGCTAAGTAACAGGCCTCCTTCATTTCCAGGCGTGGTTCCCTCTGGTAACTTTCCTCTGCTGCCAGCTGTGGGAAATGTCAGCTTTAAAACAGGGGCTGGTGCTGGGGGCAGGCCAGCCCCCTGCTCGGCTCAAAGCCCCCCACCAGGAAGCACCCACGTGCTCCACTGGGGTCATCCTCGACTTGTCTCTCTCGCTAGTCCCTCGTGCAGAGTGAGACGTGGCCCTTCCAGATCTTATCAGTTCTCTGCCCACAGCATGGCCCTCCTCCCTTCCATCCGGCCCACACCAAAGGCCGCCTCGCTGGCTTGCCCTCACGTGGCCCGCTCCTGATTGCTCTACCTTTCCCTGCCCCAGCCAATTCTCCCCAGAACTGCTGAAGTCACAGTCCTAAAGGTAGGTCTCCCCGCATCATTCCTCTGCTCAAGAGGCTTCGATGGCTCCCAGCTGTCTCTCAGTCTGAGTCCTCGGTTGGCAGTTTTAAGTCGTTCACTCTCTGTTCCCAATGTGTCTTTTCAGAAGGACTTCTCATGACTCCCTTACATAGCTTACATTCCCTCCAATGGCCCAGTCCACAAATATGGCGCTCTGTCTCCCTCTGGGGCCTTTGGACAGGTTGTGTGTGGGCCAGGAATGTCTCCCCAGCCCCCTGGGCTTCTCAGGACCCCTCACTTCCTTAAAGCCTCAATTTAGGCGCCCCCCCCCCCCCCCGCCAAGGCTTTTCCTTCCCCGTCCCCGGTGAGGACTCCTTCCCACAAGAGGGACTTTGTACTGCTTCTCTGTGGACACATAGTTCCTCTTGACTGTTGTGGAGTGGAAGCTTCTTGAGGACAAATCCTGTTCCTTTTTTGTCTTTGTGTTCTCAGTGTGTACCGCATAGTAGGAGCTTTAGAACTGCTTATTGAAGTGAAGTGAATCACATGTTTGAGCCGGGTTAGAGGAGAGCTCTGGGGTCAGAGGGCTACCTTTGACCACCCACTAAGTACTTGACCCTAAACAGAGTTGGAAAAAGGAAGAGTCTGGGGCCTCAGGGCACTGAGGAGCTGGAGGACAATCAGGATAGGCAAGGGCCCTGACCCCAGGCTAAAGAGGATGCCTCGGGGGCACCAGGTAGCCCCCTGCACAGGAAGCCTGGGACTCAGAGGAGGGTTTAGACCCAGATGCAGGCCGAGGAGCAGCGGGGGGGGAAGGGCCGAGAGTTCCTGCCCAGGCGGTTGGGCCGCCTGGGGAGGGGGGGTGAGCAAAGATACCCAAGTCAGACACGAGGTTTAAGACGTTCTGGGGCGGGCCTGGACTGGGCCAGGTGCCCCTGAGAGGTAGGTCCCTGCCGCCCCCCAGGCGCTGGGATTGACTTTTTTCTCTTCCTCTTTTCCAAAAGGCACATTGGCACACACTCAAAACTGTGAGGGAATGGCAAACTTAGGTTTCAAGTAAATAATTAGAATAATAATGACATTTCCCTTGTGCTTTAAGGCTTACAAAGGGGCTTTGTAAGTATTATCTCATTAATCTTCCCAACAGTCCTGGGAGATAGGTGCTATTACTCCATTTTACAGGTGAGGAATGGGGGCAATCAGAGGTCAAGTGACTTGACCAGGGTCACACAGACAATGAGTGACTGAGGCAGAGTTTGACCTCAGGTCTTTCTGACCCCAGCTCTAGGACTCTATCCACTACCCCACTTGGTTGTCTTAATTATAATTCTTTCTACTCTCCCCTCAAACTCTATCAATTTGTTTGATCGGTGGTCCATTCCTTCTAGGACATTGTATATGAATGAGTGAATGAAAAAACATTTATTAAACACTTATTATATGCAAAGCAGTGGGCTAATTGCTAAGGAAACAAACAGAACAGAGGAGACAGTTTCCTGTCTTCGAGGAGTTTCCATTCTAGTTGGGCAGACTCTATGTAGTTTCTCTTCTCCACCCCCACCCCCAGTTCTTTAGCCAGTTACAGGCAGCATGGCGGCGGGAATGAGAGGTGGCTTCAAAGCCAGGAAGACCTGGGTTCAGGTCCTACCAATGATGCATGTACCTTGGGTAAGTCACTGACTCTCTTAAGAGCACACTGCAGAGAAGGTGCCCACCTGCACTGGGAGAGGGATTCCCCTCACCCAGGAGTTCCCTAGACCACTGAAATCACGGGGCCTATGCCTATCCCTAGTCAAAACGATGTTTCAGCACTGGGGAGAGCTCAAGGTGCAGCTGTTTGCAAACACTGGCTTGCCCTTCCATGGGGCTTTATGACTTCCAAAAGCGTTTTCCTTGTAAGGACCTAGTAGAGCAGGAGACAGCGGGGTGGCGTCCTTACTTTACAGCTGGAGAAACTGAGGCTGAGAAAGGCGAGTGCCCAGCTCGCGGAGGTGGGGATGGGGATCTGCCTCCTGGTCTCCTTCCTCCGGAGGAAGAGCCCTTTCCTTTCCACTCCCCAGGCGCCACAGCTTGGGCTGGTTTGTTTGGCTGTGGGAGAGCCTTCAGGCACCTGACGCTGCTGTGCCGTGCCCAGGGAACCCACTGGCCTCTGTTTTCTCTTCCTCTTCTGTTCCCCAGCTATCCATTCCCTGTGACGTTCAGCAGCTGCAGTCAGAGGGACCTGGAGTCTAGCCTGGAGAAAGGGATGGGCATGTGCCTCTTTAACCTGCCAGACGTCAAGGAATCCTTTGGGGGCCAGAAGTGCGGCAACGGCTACGTGGAGGAAGCCGAGGAGTGTGACTGTGGGGAACCAGACGTAAGCCGACCATCGCCAGGCTCCATCGACCAGGAGCGGAGATGGCTGGGGTGGCAGGCAGGCAGACCCAGCTTTGGGGGGCCCCAGACAAGCTCTTCACCTCTTGGGGCTCCAAGCAGTGCTAGAGCACCAGGGGCAGGGCTGGTGGCGCTCTGCACTGATGGAGGGCCTTGCCTCCCTGGGAGCTCCTCATACCAAGGAAATCACAGGTCCCATAAACAGTAGCAGAATCCACTATGTCAGGCACTGTGCTTGTTTCTGGGGGTACAATGACAAAGAAATCAAACATTCCCTGCCTGAGGGAGCTCACTCTCTACGGAGGGATACCACATCCACGCAGGGAAGTAAATAGCAGACTGTTTGAGGAGGGCGGCAGAGCCGTAACTAGGGAAGGCCCTTGGGGCTTAATCCAGGGTGCCAACATAGAAGCCTGACGTCTGATTCAGCACCCGCAGAAGGAAGGATGAGCGTCTGGCTTGGCATAATGGGGCCCATGAGATGAGATGGAGAAATCTGCTTGATTGGATTCTCCGTATCTGCACCCTTACATTTCCCTCACTTCCTTTAAGCAGATAGAGGGTTCTCTTTATTGAAAAGGGCAGTCCTCTTGGCAAGAGGAGGCCAGGAAGAAGCGGGAGGTGCTTGGCATGGGGCTCCATGGAGAAGAAAGCCCCAGAATTCTCATTCCAAGTCATTAATAAGCACATTGCTCTCTTTGCACTGGCTACCAGAGAGGAATTTGAATAAGCCAGAGCCAGCTTTCACCCAGAGCTTCCTTGTGGCTTTAAACAAGGCCATCCCTGGCTGCTGGGGCCTCCTCTGTATGCAAGAGCCGTAGTGTCCCAGCCTTCTGTCCCCCTCCTTCTCCTTGTTAGCGTCTCTAAGCAATCCAAGAGGCTGAAAGAGCCTTCTTAAGCCCTGGGGGCTAGTCAGTCTCAGGATGGATTTTAAACAATGACCCCATCTTTCTGGAGGGTTCAGAACAGCATCTCTAACCCTCTTCAGAAATAAACAGCTACCAGGAATCTGTCCATTATCTCTTGAAAGATAGAAAAGGAAGTGACCTAAGTCAGTTACTTATTAAAAAATAAAAAGAAGGCATTTTAAAATAGAGGAGCTATATTTCTTCTCACAGTGTGAAACTGGCTTTCCTCCAAAGATTGGATAAGCCAGTTAATCAGTAAGCATTTATTATGCACCAACTGTGTGCCACATGCTGGACTAGTTACAGGGAATGCAAGTACAGAGACTGGAATGAGCCCTACCCTCAGTAAGCTTACAGTCTAGGGAGGGAGCCAACATGTGCAAACACAAGAAGATGAAAAATAAATACGAATTGTTTAGGAAGGGAGGGTGTGAGCATCTGATGGGGATCGGGGAAAGCTTCAGGCAGGAGATATTTGATCTGAGTCCTGAATGCTACATTAGCTAGCGCTGATGGAGCACTTTAAATTTTGCAAAGCTCTATACACCCCTTACCACATTCTGTCCTCACAACAATCCTAGTAGGTAGGTGCTCTTACTAACCCCATTTGAAAGATGAGGAAACTGAAGGCAGAGAGGTTAAGTGACTTGTGCTAGGTCACAGAGCTGATCCTCCAAACCAGGTCTTCTGACTTCAAATCAGATCCAGGATTCTTTACGCTGTCATGTTTCTTTATAGTCTTAGGAGACGCCTGGGGCCAGAATTAAGTGACTTGCTCAAGGTCACACAGCCAGTTTGTGGGCCAAAAATCCTTTTGAGCCCAGACCTTCCTGAGTCCAAGTCTCACTTATTCATTCTGCCCCTCTGCCTCCTCTGTGATCCACAATGAGTTATTAAATAGGATGGATGTGTCTGGGAAGAGGACGTGGAGGGGTCCTATCCCATCAGAGACAATATCCCTGGCTCCAAGGGCAGCTGGTCAGATTCCCCGAGGCACCTCCTTAGATTCTTACAGATGAATGTCTGTCTCTAGCATGCCTGACTCTAATCACCATGAGTTGTCTTTCTGTACTACCCGTATGACTTTGGATGAGCCACTTGGCCTCAGTCTCCTCATCTGTAAAATGGAAGGCTTGACCTAGATGACCCCTAGCTTTCCTTCCAACTCTCTGAGTCTGTGAGTCTCTGATCTGGGAGTGACAGGTGCTGCAAAGGAATTATACCGGAGCAGCTGGATCTTTGGGAAGGCAAACGAGTGGTTATGTGCTTTGTGGACATCGTCCTTCCCCTCCTCACTGTCCAAGTCTGCTGCCCTTTGCTGGTAGGAAATATGGCTTCCTTTCTTCATCTTCCTCCCTCCCTCCCTTCCTCCCTTGCTTCCTTCCTCCCTCCCTCCCTTCCTCCCCTCCTTCCTTCTTCCCTCCCTCCCTTCCTCCCTCCCTTCCTTCTTCCCTCCCTCCCTCCCTCCCTCCCTTCCTTCCTCCCTCCCTTTCTCCCTTCCTCCCTTCCTTCCTTCTGTTTCTCCCAGTGGCTCTCTAAATTGTTTATGGTGCATTGTGAGGCCTGACAATGCAAAAAATGGTTCTAACGATAGCATTGAAGAAACTCCTTTGAAGATGAGCACAAGAAAACTTTTTAAATAACACTAGGGTTTGCAAAGTGGAAATTCCTTGGAGTGTTCATTAATGACTTGAAAACAACCCAAATTAGTTTAATGGCTCCCTATTTCTCGGGAGGTCTCCTGTTAACTTCCAGTCTCTTCTCTTTGATTTGAGCCCCGTGTAACGGTTTATTAAACTAAATTAATATAACTCATGACTCCTCACAGGGAAATGGCGGCTTTCACACACCAAGCCCCTCCCTTACACTGGGTCCGTTTCTTCGTCCAATTCTCATCTTCTTCTTCTTTTCCACCTGGGGCTGTCACATGATTTCCATCCAGCTCTCCCCTGACCTTTCCATCCCACCTGTCTACCAAGGGAGTCCCCAGATGTTTCACCTTGGAAAAAAGCTCCTGCTGATTGGCTCAAAGACATATTGGCAGCCAGGAGCAGGGATCTCTGCTATAATGTGGAGTCAAAACAGTCAGGGTGCAGGATTTGGAGTCAGGGGACCTAGGTTTGAATCCCAGCTCTGCCATTCACTTCTTGTGGGGGCACCCTTACCAGTCACTGCAGTTCCCTGGGCCTCAGTTTTCTCATTTGTAAAATGAGGTGAGGGACAACTAGACGACACAGTGGATAGAGCACCGGTCCTGGAGTCAGGAGGATTTGAGTTCAAATCCGGCCTCAGACACTTGAAACTTACTGGCTTTGTGACCCTGGGCAAGTCACCTAACCCCGATTGCCTCACCAAAAAAGAAAAAAAAAAATGAGGCAGGATCTAGCCAGGCTCCAAGGCATCTTCCAGCTTTGACTCTATGAGCCTCTGAATCCACTTCAGATACTTTTTTTGTTTTGTTTTTGCCTGACTCCTTGGCCGGAGCTCTATCCACTGTGCCCCCTGGCTGCCCCCCACCTCAGATCCTTTTGAAGAAGAAATAACCTCCATTGTTTTCTAGAAGATTAGCAACCACAGCAATGATGATAATAACAGGAGTTCTCTTTGCCAGGAAAATCACGGGTCTGGGCCGAACACGAATAGCTAAACGTTCAGATTTGTACACTGCGTCAAAGCTTGCCTGCACTGCGCGTGCATGATCTCACTGGATCCTCAAAATAACTCTGTGGGGTAGACGCTGTCATTGCCCCCATTTTTCAGAGGAGCAATCTAAGATTTGGAGGCATGAAGCGACTTGTCCTGAGTCACCCAGCTATTAAATGTATGGTGCTGAACTTGAACCCACATCTCTATAACTCCAAATCCTGTGCTCTATGCCCTACATCAGGCTGTCTCTTTTAAGGGCTTTGCAGATAGGATTACATTCTGTCCCCACAACTACCCAGTTAAATAGGTATAATAACCCCCATTTTTGCAGATGAAGACACTGAGGGTCAGAGAGGTGAAGTGAGTTGCCTAGTCGTCAGAGGCAAGATTCAATCCTGTGACTTTCTGACTCAGGGCAGGTACTCTAGTCATTAGGCCATGCTGCCTCTCAGAGCAGACATTCTCAATAGCCTGCCCTATCAGAATAAAACTGAGAAGGCATGCAGATCATTGGTGCCTGTTCTATCATTGTTTCTCCTTGGGGTCCTAGTATTCACTGGCCTGCCTGAACTGCGCCCCGAGATGCTCAGACTCAAACGTCCTGGAGCATTTCTCATGTTTGATAAACACAGAACCGCAAAGGACAAAGACTCCAGAAGGCTAATGTGCTCCTGTCTTCCCATCCATACTGCAGATGGGGGTTATGCCAACCCAGAGATGTTCCTGACTGCTCACTCATTCTTCAGGCTTGCTGGGTCCTAGCAGCAAGCTGTTCATACTTGAGCTTAGTAGTGGCGACAGCTTGCCAATACCTTTTAAACCCGGTTTCTAATTCTCATTTCCCCCTTCTTTACGGGACCAAATGTTCTGTAGATGAAAGCCACCAGACGCTCCCCTCATTTGATCTCCTGCTCAAGGAGTCAGGGACTAAGAGGGGAGTGGGATTCTTACTGAAAGATCTTTGATGGGGCCCAAATTTACCACAGCTGATTTAGCTTAGGACGGGAAAGGAGGCTGCAATGCTTTTCGGGTCTCATTAGTGGAACGACTCAGCCCATAATCAGCAGGGCTACATTACTGGAATCCTATGCAATTAACAAACTTTTTTTTTTTTAATTTGGGAGTGAGGAGGATGGGATGGGGGGCACACACTTGGCTTGGGTCAAACTCTGGACCTTTGTAGGATTGTGACAGGCCCCAACTTCAAAAACAGAGGACCCTCAAAGGAATCCAGGGGGAAGGCTTTGCCATCTGTGCTAATATGTATAGATATGTGTGTATACACTTATATACACACATGGGCATGTACACACACACACACGCACACGCACACACACACACACATACTCAGACTCCCTGCAGGATTTTCTGCGCCTTTGTAGGTGGAGGTCAGGAGTTCCTGTGACTGAGAAATCACTCCCCTTCTTGGGACCAAGCTGGTGAGGGGGTCTCTTGTCTGAGCTGAACCCAGACACAAACCTGCACGTGATCCATTGCTGGCTTTGTAGGTGAAGGCTTTCCTGCTAGTATATCCAAATCACTGCTGTGGCCTACTAGGTCCCCAGGTCACACCCACCTCATTGTGAGGAATCAGGAGAGGTCCCTGGTACAGAACATACATACTTGCATATATATATATATATATATATATATATATATATATTTCATTGGCACAAGGACTCCCAGGTGAGGAATTTCCCTTACCAATGCAGGTTGGCAACTCTGTTGCAGGTTATAGTCTTAGGAAGCTGCCTAAAGTACTTAGAGGTTAAGTGACTTACCCAGGGTCACACAGCCAGGCTATGCAAGAGGAAAGGCTTGATTCAAGTCTTGCTGGTTCCAAGGCCAGCTCGCTATAATACCATGCTGCCTCGTGTGTATCTTTATATTATGTAGAGAGTCTGAGACAGGCAGAGACAAAAAGACAGCGATACAGAGACACAGTACACACAGATACAGAGTTAACAGAGTGTAATGGATAAATAACTGGCCTCAGAGTTCAAAAGACACGGGTTCAAATCCTGCCTGAACATACACTGGGGGTGTAATCCTCGTGAAGCCACTGTTTGTACCTATGAAATCACAGTAAAAAACACAAATGTCAAATGTGTATGTATGTCTGTGCGATGCATCTTGTATTAATGTATGTATATGTGTGTCTTGTCTAAATGTGCATGCATGTTTGCACATAGATGTATGTTCATGTTTCTGTGCGCACACATAGGTATGGACCCAATTCTTCATTTAAAACTTTGAGAAAGGTAAAAGCGTTCTATCTCCCTCTCACTTTCCTTCCTGAGAGGGCAGTTCACTCAGGAAGTCCGTGGGTCAGTGGGCTCCTCTCCTAGCTGACTGATGGGTACCGCATACCCCCTGCACAGTGCTGAGACCATGGGGAGGGACACTGGCCTCCTCTGGGCCTTCCTAGGCCAGCTGACCTCCACACTTCCTGATCTCCAGAGGAAATCAACTCACAGCTCCCCAGAGCCATTCCCCACCTGGGCAGCAGGGCTTCAGCCCTTTTCAGCTTCCTTTCATCTCTTCCCCCATTAGATTATGAGCCCCCTGAGGTCAGGGACTATCACTTCTTTCTTTGTATCCCCAGCCCGGCTCACAGTAGGTGCTTGATGGACTTTGTTCACTCTGACTCTTCAGCTGGACCTCAGGCTGCTTTGGTTGCATAATGATTGATGTATCACACAGCCCCCCACGCCCCGACCCCTGTGTCTTTGCACTCACTGTCCCCTATGCCTCCATCTCTTAGCGTCCTTTGTGCCCCTTCAAGGCTTTGCTCAGGTGCCTTTCCTTCCCCAGAAGCCTTCACTTCTTTTCAGCACTCGATCCCTCTTCACTCTGCATAGATAAAGTATTCTGCCAATGGAGGGTAAGCTCCCTGAGGGCAGGGACCATTTTTGTTTTCCTCTTTGTATTCTCAGAACCCAGCCCAGCATTTTATACTCAGTAAATGCTTAATCCGGGCTTGTGGAATTGGCTTGACTTGGATTCCTGGCCCCTTCTGCTGCCCCAGCCCTTGAGAGTGGAGACGCCCTAGGAGGACTGGAGATAGGTGGTGAACGCAGGCCCAGGCTTCTCTTCCAGCAGCTTTTCCTTCTCCGAGATGAAGCCCAACAGCCTGGACTTTCTGAGGGCGCTTATTTTGTTCTTTCTGGGACTCTAGGAACGCCCTGCCCATGACATCAGTGAATGTAATGAATGATCCCTGCTTGGGAGGGCCGGCCAGTTCACTCACTCGGCCTTCCTCTTTTCCGTTTTTGTCTGAATTTACTTATTTGTTGTGACGTTAACAGTCATCGGCAAACTTAAATGGTTTAATGTCCAAAAAAATTGCAAGAAAGGACTGCGTGAGGAAGTGTGAACTTTGGTTGGGAAGTTTGTAAAGAAATGCACTACTGCACGTGCACACGCATGTGCATACACACTCTCACACGCACATGCACACACACACTCATATACGCACACACAACATTGAGACCCTGCTTGGTTGAGTCTTCAGGCCCTGGGGCACTGCCCCTTCCCTATCTTATACCCAGCCATTGAGGCTTGTGGACTGGATTCAGGTCTGGGCTCTCCCCAGTCTGCCTCTGGTGACAGGGACCTCCTTTTCTCATCCTTATTGGCTCATTAACAGCCCCTAATCTCAGTTTTCTGGGGATGACGCTTAGTAAAAGTTATGACTCATGTTTGGGCCCCTAAAAAGAGAAAAACAAAGAGGTACCCAGTGTACGAATGTGAATCGGGTTTGAGAGAAGTAGTTTATTCCTGCATAGATAGAAATGATAACATGTACACGATTACATTTATCCATTCATTCATTCATTCGTTTGTCTATTTTTTTTGGATGCTTTCTGCAGGAATGTACCAATCCATGCTGCAACGCAACGACCTGCACCTTGAAGCCAGAGGCCGTGTGTGCCCACGGACTCTGCTGTGAAAACTGCCAGGTACGTGATGGGCAGGGAGAAGGGCAGAGCTCCCAGCGGGCAGGCAGGAGGCCAGGCAGCCTTGGTCAGCCTGTAGTGTTAGGCCTGACCTTTCTACCATACTCTCAGGTTTACAAGGGCCTTTGGGACAATCTTCCAGTGACATCGGGTGGGCAGGGACCGTTATCAAAGACCTCAGAGTTCATCTCCTCTAACCCCTCCACTTACAGATGAGGAAACTTGAGCCCCAGGGAGGAGGAAGCAGGATCCCAAATTTAGGATTATTTTACAGAGGAAGAAACTGAGGCCTGGGGAGAAGAGACAGTTCCAAGGTCACATGGGCAGCAATCCTGGAGATGGGGTTATAGCCAGGAGTGACCTCGAAGACCATTTAGTCCATTCTCCTCCATTTTATAGGGAAGGAAACTGAGCCCCAGGGAGAGGAAGGGACATGCTTATGCTTACACCATTAAATGTCAAAGCAGGCAATTGAACCCAGGTTTTCTGACACCAAATTCAGGACTATTTGCACCATACCACAATCCCTCCCCACCCCCTTCAACAAATAAAAGCAAATTTTATAAAAAAAATCAAAATACGTAATTCAGAGCCTCAAATTATCATCAGTGATCTTGAGAACTAGTCTTACGGTCAAGAAAGACTTGAGTTCAAATCCTGTCTCTGAAATAAACTACCTGTTGAACCTGGGGCAAGAAACAGTATCTTTCTGAGCCTCAGTTTTCTCATCTATAAAATGGAGCTCACAGTACTATAGTACCTATGTCAAAGTGTCGTTGTGAGGCTCAAACATAATAACATTTATAAAGTGCTTTGCAAACCTGAAAGTGCTATATCAATTTCACCTAATAATATCATTGCTATTATTATCACCTGAAAAATGAGATAATATTTATAAAATGCCCTTGGTACAGTGGTTGGCACACAGTAGGTGCTTAATAAAGACTTGTTCTTTTACCTTCCCACAGAGGCGACAAGGTAGGCAGAGGGGGCGGGTCTTCAGGGATGGTCTTTGTCCTTTGGTCCCTTGGTGTTGGCTTACTCAATGATAGCACCGCCTAGCTGGTCATTTCATCATTTTGTGAGCCATTGAGGAATGAAGACTTCCAAGGTTAATTCTCTTTTGAAACATTTTCTTCCAAAGAACTGGACCCAAATCTTTAAACCAAAGGTTTTAATTTTCTAATCTTGTCATTAGTCATTAAGTTGTCAATCAATCATTAGAGTTAAAAGGAACCTTACTGAGAGACCACCTTGTCTTGAAATTAAGGTCTTGACAGGAAAAGTCACTTGCCTCAGGCTACACAACTGCCAGGAGCTCACAATAAATCATTTCTCTCCATGGAGTGTGTGGACATGTGTGTGACCCCACACCCTGGGTCCTTTGTGACTTGTCATCTCTACCCAGATCCCTCCCTTTTGTCCAAAGGATCTCTTACCATGTGCACATGTTGTGCACACCTGTACAGGTGCTGGAGTTTTTTTCACTCTTCTTTATCCTTTTGCCTTCCTCTCATTGGAGAAAATATTGGGCAACAAAGGCCAGGAAAGTAATGATTACATTTCTAGAGATGAATTTGTTAGCTTTGCCAATCAAGGCATCAGCCTCGGAATTAGATTCAGGTTAAAAATAGCATTTTGAGTTTGTATCTGAAATTCAGTAAAGGACTAGGCTTTGGGATCCAAAGATTTTGAAGGGGGCAGCTAGGTGGCACAGTGGATAGAGCACTGGCCCTGGAGTCAGGAGGACCTGAGTTCAAATCCGACCTCAGACCAAACACGTGACACTTACTAGCTGTGTGACCCTGGGCAAGTCACTTAACCCCAGCTGCCATAAAAACAAAACCAGATTTTGAAGCATTGCCAGCCAGTCAGTCAACAAGCATCCATGAAGATCCTACTATGTGCCGAGCACTGTGTGAAGAACTGAGGATACAAAGAAAGGCAAAAACAGCCCCTGCTTTGAAGGATTTCACAAGCTAATGAGGAAGAGAAGATAAAAACAACTATGTACAAGCAAGATATGAACCAGATAGATTGGAAATAACCAAGAGAGAGAAGGCAGCCTATTGATAATGCCATTTAGATGGCTGGACCAAGAGCTGGAAGGTGCCCTACAGGGTATCTAGTCCAACCACTTCACATTTCAGTTGAGGAAACTGAGGCACAGAGCAGGGATGTGACTCACTCAAGACCCTCTAGCCCATAAGCTGCAGAACCCGTATTCCAGCCCAGTGTGTTCTATCATGTGCTTTCTTCCACCCTGCACCATCTTTCCCTCCTGGTTACCATGTAAAGGAGCGGTTGCCTAATCAGACCTTTTAAAAACTGTTTTTATTTTTACTTTCAAATGTCTTATATGATTTTTTGGGAGGAATGGAGTTAGGAGGAGACAGACTTTCTCTTTGTATCTTCTGAGCACCTACTAATTGCTGGTAGGAGAAGAATACCCAGGAGCATTTTTGGTAGGAGGGAGGAGCCAGCCCAAGGTTAAACATTTTGGAGACTTCAGGGACCACTGATCTTGTAGAGTTGAGTATTTCCTCTAAAGATGCAAGTTCCAGCCCATCCATGCTCTCCTATCCCAAACAACTCTGGTCCATTGCTCTCAATAAATGTACCACTGGGGGTCCACCCAATGTGCTGGGAGGCCTTCCTCTAGCTAGGGATGCCAGAAGCAATTAGTTATTAGGCTCTCTGTGCACGTTAAGCCCTGTTGCTTCTGATGTTATTATTGCATTGACTTTCTTTGTAGGCTCCATCTTTGAAAAGTGTGCACTTCGGCTAAGTAGAAAACCAGAAATGGGTTCTAAGTTTGACTTGGCCACTGTCCTGCTCTTTGTCCTTGGGCAAATGGCTTCCTGAATGTAGACATCAGCTTCTCGGGTGACCACATCAGGGATTAGACTGAAAGAGCTATTAACCATTAAAGTACCTTCTAGCTCCAGCCCCTTGATCCTAGGCTCTCAAAGCTCCATTCTAGCCCTAAACTATCACATGGACATCGAGTTTGCTACCTTCGTTGGGTCACTGCATTTACTGGGGTGATGGAGGTGACTATGTCCCCAGTGCTGAAAGCCAATGCCAAAAACCCATTGGCAAAAGCCCATTACTAAAAACACACATATTCTTTTAAAAGTGGGGCTTTGCTAACCATCCATTTTTAAAACACACCAACTTGACACCTGCCATAGTCTCTTGGAGGTGCAGTGGTGACTCAGTTGTCTGTTTAATGCTAATATTGCAGGTCGTCTCATTAGCCACAGGTATCTTAGGGGAACTGGGGACCACCAGGCTGAGATCGGCCCGCTTACTTCCCTCTCTCTCTCCAGTCGTTGCCAAAGGAACTTAATGTGAAAGTCCTTTGCACTTTTCCAGGGGGATGTGTTGAAATGGCTCTGCAGTATTTCACCAGCAATGCTGGCAGCAAGCCCTCTCCCGTAACACCTTCACTCCCGTTTTTCTCCTTCCAGCTGAAGCCCGCGGGGACGGCCTGCAGAGCCTCCAGTAACTCCTGCGACCTGCCTGAATTCTGCACCGGTGCCAACCCTCACTGCCCAGCCAATGTGTATCTGCATGACGGTCACCAGTGCCACCGTGTGGACGGCTACTGTTACAATGGCATCTGCCAGACCCACGAGCAGCAGTGCATCACCCTCTGGGGACCAGGTAGGGGGTCCACAGGGGGTCATAGCCCGGAGGAGTGGGCACGGGAAAGAGGGGATTCTGGGGCTGCCTCCTAGCAGAGTGTCCCTGCAGATGCTCACATTAAATATGGATTGTGAAGGGGGAGAGAGCTGGGGCTACCAATGATCCATCCCCTCCGTGGAAGGGAAAAGACCCTCCCTGGGACAGCTGTCCCCAAGTTGAACTGGCCACATGGGCAGGTGGGACCCCCTCCCCAAAGCCTGGATGGCCATGGCTCCAAACACATAGAAAACCTTCATGGTTAGCTACAATGAGGCTCAATTCCTCCATTTGCTAGGGTTCTCTCTCCCTATTAGAGAGTGAACCCCTCGAGGGCAGAAAGCGGCTTGTTTGTTGTTAGTATTCTCAGCCCTTAGCCTAGAGTTTTATGGGGAAGTAGGGGAGGCCCGTTGGTGGTGTAGTGGATAGAGCTCCAGGCCTGGAGACAGGAAGATTCATCTTCATGGGTTCAAATCCAGCCTCAGACACTTACGAGCTGTGTGACTCTGGCCAAGTCACTTGACCCTGTTGGCCTCAGTTTCCCCACCTGTAAAATTATCTGGAGAAGGAAATGGCAAACCATTCCAGTGTCTCTGCCAAGGAAACCCCAAATTGGATTCACAAAGAGTGAGACATGACTGTATAACAACATGCCAAGCCCTCATTTAGGGTTAGAGATTGAGAAGACAAAGATAAAAGGAAAAACAATCCTTGCCTGACAGTCCCCTTCTATTTGCTCTGTATTTACTCTCCTGTAGTAGAATGTAAGCTCCCTGAGGACAGAGGCTCAGCTTTCTTCCAAATGAGTTTGCGTTTTATTTTGTGTTTTCTTCGATTAGAATGGAAGCTGCTTGGAGGCGGTAACTGTTTTATTTTTGTGTTCCTATACCCAGTGCCCAGGATAACGCCTGGCACATAGTAGGTGCTTAAAAAATGCTTTTTTTCAATCGGTTTGAAATGGTCATCAGCTACTGATGTCCTACTGGAGGAAAAGGCCTGAACAGAGACCAACGAATGCAGAATTAGTTTGAGTTGTTGCTGAGTGGGTCGGTGACTTCACCAGGGTGAGGAGCTTCCAGGGCCCAAGGTCCTTTGCCAGGGCAGGTCTGCACCTTCTCCACAGCTTCGGGTCTCAGCCTGAGACGCTGAGCAGTTCAGTGACTTGGCCAGGGTCACACATCCGGGGCATGGCAAAGGCGCTACTGGACCCCAGCACTCCTGATCCTAAAGACGCGCTGCCTCTGACAAATTCATGCTCAGTAAAAACACAAAGGAACGCACAGGGATTTCCAGAAAGCTAGCCTGCTAACTCTTGGGAGAAGCTTCCTGTGGAAGGTGGTGCCTGAACTGTATTTGGAAGGACGCCCAGGGCCTCCAGGGCCAGCATGAGGAAGACGGGCATTCTAAATCATGGGGACTCCTTGTGCAAGGCGCGGGGGCAGGAGATGTGGTTTCATACACAAGAAACAGTTGTGACGTTAAACATCAAGGCCACGAGGGCCTTGCCTCTTAGGCTTACCCCATCAGAAAACCAAGTCATCTCTGTCTCTAGCCAGATCCCAGAACTTCTGAGTTAAACCTTAACCTAATTTATTTCTCAAGATTGTCAACTCCACCCTATCTCATAACCCCTTTCCCCTGGTTCATTTGCCTGATGTGGCAGATTTGTTTCTCCAGTGATCCCTCCCTGCTGAGGCTCAGCTTTTGGCTGCCCCTCCACCCCAAGTGGGTGGGTCCGAGGCCCTGGCCAGTCGGCTAACTCTCGGTGGCGATGGTCCTGGGCTCAGAGCAGCAGGAGGAGACCGAGGCAAAAGCGAATGGGTGAGGGCTGGCGGGGGGCGGGGAGGTTAAAGAGTGAGAGTGGTGATCCAGGCATCACTTTGGGTTTAAAATATCCTATTTAAAATGACAGAAGAGAAGGAAATGGAGACATACTTTTCTTGGGACTGCCCTCGAAGTCACTTTGTTAAGCTCTTTTAAATAGTGGCATCAAACTTGAGGTTACCTTTGTGAGAAGAAAGAACTGGGAAGAAGGAGAATGAGGAGGAGGAGGCAGGGAGGAGGAGGGGGAGGAGGAGGAGGGGGAGGAGGAAACATGGCCTCACAGAGAGAGGGTCAGCCTTGAAGTCAAGAAGACTCAGGGGCAAGTTGCGCCTCTAAAACATCCTAGCTTGTGACACTGAGCAAGACTCTGGCCCTCAGTTTTCTCATCTCTAAAATGGTCATAGTAATACCTGGAAGTTATTATTTTATTCCTCTCAGTGTTGTTCTTAAGTTCAAATAAGAGTTTTGCAAACCTTAAAGCAAGAGAGATAGATAGGTAGCAAGATAGAAAGATAGAGGGACGGATGCGTTGGAGATAATAGAAAGATGTGTTATAGACACGTAGATAGATAGATATTAAAAGCTGACAGAAAGATAGATGTGCTAGAGATAGAAAAATAGAAAGATAGAGAGACAGCAAAATAGACAGATAGATATAGATGGATGGATGGATGGGTGGATGGATAGATGGATGGATGGATGGACGGATGGATGGATGGATGGGTGGGTGGATGGACGGATGGATGGATGGGTGGATGGATGGGTGGATGGATGGATGGACGGATGGATGGGTGGATGGATGGGTGGATGGATGGATTGATGGATGGGTAGGTGGGTGGATGGATGGATGGATGTACAGACAGATAACATTACAGGCCTTTTTAAATATCAAAGTCAAATACACATGATCCAAATCCCCTTGGTTACGGTCCCTGCCTAATTTTGCTCAGGAGCAGAGCCCCAGCCTCCATGCTGACTCCCAAGGATGCTGAGATGGATGATGCTGCCAGAGCTCCCTTCCCAGATGCCAATTTTTTTTATCAGCTCCTCTGATCACCAAGGATGAAATGTGCTCACTAATGCAGAACTTGATTTTAATGGGCTGCTGTCTTTGCTGAATGTGTGGGGTGGGCCATCCTCCCAGGTGACTCAGCAGCCTTTTCACTGGCCTTGCCATGCTCAGTGCCATGAAGGCCATCCCACCCAACTCCTCCCAATCTGCCTGGCAGGGTCTTCATTCTGTTTTGTTCTAAATAAAGCAGAGTTCTCCTCTTGAATGATCATGGGGTTGTCAGTGGATGGTTTTTCATCCAATGAGAAGTTATTCACGCTCAACTCTCAGTTGTCCCCTTGACCGGATTCAATTCAAGGAGAGTCAGTAGAGTAAGTGGCCAGGGCAGCATTGTTATATCCATTTCCTGAGGAAGTAACTTCCCTGGAAGAACTGAATGGCAAAAATCAGGGTCCCATAACCTGGGCTGCTACTCTGACTCATCTCCTCACCCACAAATTCTGCCGTTACTGAGGATGCCTTTTCCTGGAAATTGGAAATCACTGGGGCAGTGTGTGTGTGTGTGTGTGTGTGTGTGTGTGTGTGTGTGTGTGTGTTGACTCTGAGATCTGGCTTTTGGTACTTTATGCAAAGCAGGATTCTTCCCTGGCAACAAAACCCCAAGGCCCAGCCATACTTAGGGCTTGTCCACATGCAGGGCATCTTACAGCATGATCCCAGCCCTGGTGAATAAAGACCTAGGTTTGAGTTGAGAGAGTCTCACCTGGCCACTCATCCATTCAACAAGCATTCATTAAGCACCTGCTGTGTGCTAAGCACAGAGAGATGCCTTTAACCTGGAGGTGAGATTGCAGAAGCACGTGACAGGCCTGTCACGGAGAGTTGGGTCTATCCCAACAAGTCTGCTCTGGGCTCCTATTTATGTTTTCTCAGGATTCTCCCATTCTTCAGTGTTACCGTGGCAATTGACTCAGCAGCGGAAAAGGCCTTCCGTGTGTCTGCGTTCAGCTTGCTCCTGTGCTTTGCAGGGGTCTTGGCACCTTCCTTCTCCTCCAGTCACTGAAGTCGGCATCTCTGGGTGGCTCTTCCCAGGAGGTGCTGGTTCCTTAAGCCCCAAGGCAGTGAGGATTTTAGGCAGCCTTCGCCCAGTGGAATTAAAAAACCTTGACCAAGACCTTCATCTTGGACTCAGCTCGTGAGTCATATTTTTTCCAAAGCAGTGGACTCCTAATCACAGCCCCCTGAGTTCTTCCGGGCCGTTTCCCCAAACCTTTGCCTCCATCTTCTCTGCCTGCTGACATCACCGCTCCTTCCACACAACCGCATTCTCATTTTTCTTTTCTGCAAGGATTTGGTCCATCTCCTTTCGTTTTCCATTCCTCTTGTTCATCCCAAACACTCACCTGACGGCATCTGGCAAGTCAATATATTTTGCAAAATGTCAAAACTTGCCAAGGTCACAGATCCTGAACTTGTCAGAGACATAGACGTTTCTTAAATGACAACCATTCCCAAGGTGAGAAGACCGAAAGGCATCTTACCTTCCGGGGGGAAAAAACTGTCCCCAAGCTATCCGCAAGTTAGGAGTGACCAAAAGAGAAAGAGGACTGAATTAACCAAAGCAGAGGGGTGAAGGGCTTCAGCTCATAGCACTGGAGGGTCAGGTCAAAGAAATGAGGACAGTGAGCCTGGAAAAGAGGAGACTGGAGGAGGGGAAGGGGAGAGAGAAAGAGGGAGGTCTTCTTCAAGTACTTGAAGGGCTAGCTATGGAGAAGAACCTAGATTCACACTCTATGACCCATGAGGCAGAGCGAGGAGGGATAGAAGGAGGGGTGTGACCCAAAGACAGATGCCAACAATTTAAGCCATCCCAGAGTAGATTGGGCTGCTGCAGGGGGTGCGGGGCTCCCCTCACTGAAAATCTCCAAGTAAGGTCCAAGTGAGCACTTCAAGAGGGATTTCTTTTCGAGAAATCATTTGGACTCAGTAGCCACTGAAGCCCCTTGGGACTCAGAAATTGTATGATTCTTTAGTGGAAACAGTCCAGGGCCTGGCAGCAGCCAGGGTGGATTGGAATCTCAGCTCTGCTAGGGACAAGTAGTGTGAGCTCAGGCAAGGAAAGAGCCTCCCTGGGTCTCAGTGATCC